CATGTGTTAATTCAGGAAGGATAACTCTATTATCTACTTCTAACATTCTTAAAGCTCCGTCTTCTAAATCAGATTCAGGTACTAAATATGAATCAAATTCTATAAATTCTTCATCTGTATTTAAAAAGTCAGGGTATTGGTAACTTCAGTATCATTGATGACCTTCTGCTAAAACTGACATTGAAGAATCATTAACTTCATCCATTAAGTATAATAATTTGAATGAAGGGAAGGCTATTAATATTAATATCACTGCTGGAGTAATAGTTCATATTAACTCTATAAGTGTACCATGGTTTAAATATTTGTGAGATATAGGTGATTTAGTTTCAACATAATTTCTTACTATTGATAACATAACTCATGCTACAGCAAATAATATTATAACTAAGTAATACATAATATTATCATGTAATTCAACTAATCCTTCCATTTGTGGAGTAGCACTATCTTGGAAATAAATACCTCAAGGAGTAGGTACGTCAAAATTTATATTTAAAATATTCTTAATTAAAAACATATTATATTCATTTATATATCTCTATAAAATTATTCGCTTAGTTATAAATCTATTATAATTTAATTATTTTATAGAATTAGAGATTACTTTTCGATCGTTAAATCGATTTGTTTTTTATTTATCAATAAAGGGCTTCAAATAAGTTTAATAATTTTAACGTGTCCTTTACTATATCTCTAGTATAGATATATCTTCTCCACGTTCTTTCTCTAAAGAAAGGATCTAATCAACAATATAGTTAAAAATATATTATATTTTTTAGGTATTTGTTCAAATTTTTAAACCTTCTAATCAAATATGATTTCCATAGGAGGTATTAAGTCCTACTTTTTATTATGCAACGTAAAGTAATAAGAATGCCATCATTAAGGCAAATAAACCTGTAGCTTCAGAGAAGGCAAAACCTAATATAGCGTAAGAAAATAATTGACCTCTCATAGAAGGATTTCTTGCTACACCTAAAATTAATGCACCAAATACTACACCAATTCCAACTCCTGCTCCTATTAAACCTGTTGTAGCTAAACCTGTACCTATAATTCTTGCTGCTTGTATCATTTTATAAATATACGTATATTAATTCTATTTCCGCTTTTTATCTAACTAACACTTTTTATACTATTATTACATAAATAAAAAAAAAATTTTTTTGTTCTATATTTTAGCTTTTACTTATAAGTTCTGTAACATTAGAAGATTTTACATTTAAAAGAGTTATAACTTGTCTGCTATCTATTTTTAATGCACTTTTACCTAATTCAAATACAAAACCTATAGTAATAATACCTATAAATAACAAGGCTACTATTAAACCATAAATGTTATTAACATATCCACTTACTGCAAAAGGGAATGTTAAAAGAATTTCTAAATCTAATAATAAATAAACTAAAGCAAAAATGAAGAATTTAACACCAAACTGTGTTCTATTTTGTCCTAAGAAACTATGAAACCCACACTCAAAAATAGAATATTTTTCTTGATATGGATTATGAGGAGCAAGCAGTAAATTTACAATTAAAAATACTAATGCTAATATAGAAACAAATAAAAAGAAAAAAGTCATACTACTCATTTAACTATTAAATAAAATTTGTACCAATATGGTACCCATACTTAATCATTCTTTATTCATAAATATAAATAATAAAATTATTAATGTTATACTAGATATTGTAATAGATATAGGACTAGACATAACAATATTATTATATTTGAATTCTAAATTCTGAACTAAACGATCGTTTTGATCATAAATATGACCTGATAATTTACGATCTTTTAATCTAGGATTTATTTTGTATTCAGGTTTATAAAAGAAAATTTCTTTTACAACATTAAGATAATAAACTCCACCAATTACACTAGTTGCAACTGCAATTAAAGTTAAGAAAATATAACCACTATCTAAAGCAGCACTTAAAACCATCTGTTTAGCAAAGAATCCTAATAGAGGTGGTATACCTGCAAAAGAAAAGATTGTTATAGCTAAACTTAAGGCTAAGAAAGGATTTATATAAAAATAACCTTTTAATTGACTAATTAACTGAATAGGTGAATTATTTTTATCTAAAAGTTCTTTATGTTCTTTGTTTTCTGTAACATAGAAATAGAAAGAGAAACCTATTGTTACTAATATTACAAATGCATTTAAATTACTTATAGAATATTGCATTAAGTAAAAAATGAAAGCTTGTATTGATTCTATACTAGTTATACTTAAAGCTAATAATAAAAAACCCACATGACTTATTGTACTATATGCTAATAATCTTTTTATTCTGAATTGTGTTAAACCTACTACTGTTCCAATTATTAAAGATAATAAAGAACTCATTAATAAAGCAAAAGTTCAATTATACTCAGAAAAGTAATTACTTGTAAAGTATACTATTTCTAAGAATAATATAAAGATAGATATCTTGGCTATATTTGCTACAAATGTTGTAACAATTGTAGGGATAGCGTCATAAACATCAGGAGATCAGAAATGGAATGGTGCAGCACTTACTTTAAATAAGAATCCTACACTAAATATCAGTAAAGAAAAGTTTATATAATAAGGTTTGTATCATGAATCCATAGCACCATCACTGATACTAGTTATTACGTATAAACCATCCATATTTGTAGTTCCAGAATTTGCATATAATAAACTTGTACCAAATAAGATAAAACATGAACTTAAACCACCTAATAAAAAGTAGATTAAACCACCTGTAGTAGCTAATTCTGAATTTCTATAAATAGTACTTAATAAATACAAACCATAACTTTGTAATTCTATTGATAAAAAAATAGAAACTAAATCGTTAGTAGACATTAAAAAAATTGCTCCACTTACTACGAATAATAAAATTAAAGGGTATTCTATAATTTTTAAATGTTCTCCCATTTTATTTATAATTTTTGTTCTATAATAAACAAATTTATAAGATAAAAGATGTCTTAGAGATGAATGTTCTTTAATTCATACTTTTCTAGGATAAAAACTAGTTAACTGTAAAATTAACATAGTAATTATAAAAACAAATATATGAAATATTTGTGTTATGTTAGTTAAATGAAGTAAACCTCCATGTAAACCTACCCCTTTATTTATGAAAGATAAACTTGCAAAATCAAGTAAAAAACAATAAGCTAAAGCTATAATAGCAATTCTATTAAAAAGTATAGACATATCTCGTCTTAAAGTAACGGCATTAGAATATAATAAACATAATATAGATAAAATTATCATAATATAAATTAAATATGTGCTTACACATTTTTATTTATTTATTGACCTAATTTGTGCTTACGCTCATAAATGCTTTTTTAAAGTCTTAATCGTAATTAAACAAAGTAAAATAAATAAATAAAAATAAAATAAAACTCTAGTCCCCACAATTTTTTTTTATTCTTTTTATCTGGATAACATGCACTAATACTCTTAGAAAGTATTTATGTGATAAATAAGATAAAAATTACTAAAAAAAATAAAGGAAGAGGCTAGGAATAAATCAAAGATTTATACGCATTTTATTTAACCAGGAGAGAAAATCGAATTCTCGTCTTTAATGTATGAAATTAAGGTTTTAACCTATTAAACTACCCTGATTTTTAATTTTTTTTTTGAGGCGCCTAAGGTTAGGCTTCAAATAGTTCTTTTTAAATTGCGTTCATAAATCCAAGATTTATATATCAAATCAAATAAAATAAACCTGAAATAGAAAAAGATAAACAAAAATCGCTCTAACACGATATAGGTTTGTTAGGTTGATGATTAAATACTAGATAAAAATTAGGGAGGATACCCTGACTTGAACAGGGAACCGACTGTGCCACATACAGTCGCTCTACCGATTGAGCTACATCATCCTTAAGCCTATAAATTAGATCTCTTTTGCTATAGCAAAATAGTCTAGATTAAAATTTTAGTGTATTTATTTTCATTAAAAAATAATTAACCTATAATATAGGTTCTCATATATTAATTGTTTATTTTTCGATAGGCTTCGCCTCAGTAAACACAAATAAAGCTGATTAAATACTATAAATTTATGTTGGAGTGATTCGAACACTCAATAGTAAATACCAAAAATTTATGACTTACCCATTAGTCCACAACATATAGAGAAAGCAGGACTTGAACCTGCATGATCTTGCAACCAGTTAGGCCTAAACTAACCCTGTCTACCAATTCCAGCATTTCCCTTTTTATTCATTAAATATGCATAGGGAGTGTGATAACTTAAAAACTATAAAAAAGTATATACAAAGAATGTATATAACCCTATATTATTTGCCCGGAGTGAGACTTGAACTTACAACAAAACCAGCTTCAATGGTTCACTCTACCAATTGAGTTATCCGAGCTTTTATATGGTTTAAGTGTGTTAACACTTATACTAATTTTAGTCAAAAATATAGGTCCATATTACCAATACTGTATTTTTATACTAAGGGTTAATTGGAGATATTAGGAATCGAACCTAAGATAACGATATGCAAAATCGCAGTTTTACCATTTAAACTATATCCCCTATACGGTAAAAAAAAGCTTCTTTTTTTTTAAGCCTGACGCAACGCTCTAAAAAAATTTTTTTTCTTATATTACATATAAGCTGCTTATTTTTTATAAATAAGCAAGCTATTAAATATAAAAAGTGAGGCTTTGCCTAAAAAAAGGTAAGTATCCGAGAGACGACTTGAACGTCTACGATTATTCATCAACAAAGCTTAAGTTTGCACTGTCTACCAATTCCAGCACTCGGATTTTATTGTGAAAGATTTTTAAAATCACCACAAAAATTTAAGGCTAAAGTGACTTGAACACTTATATTTACCATTATGAGTAGTACACTTTACCAATTAAGTTATAGCCTCTAAACAGTTAAATCAACTTTAAATTAATTAAGATATGAAGAAATAAGTTTATTTTTTTTTACCTATTTTCAAATCCCTATACTAACACGTGATTCTATTAATTGTAATGTATTTGCACGCGGAAAAAGGACTTGCACCTTTATCTTTTGATCATGAGTCAAATATGTTACTATTACACTAAACCGCATTTATTCTAGTTTTATTTAACTATATGTCAAAATATCCGCAGCAAAAGAGATCTTTTAGATTAGACGGGGATCGAACCCGCGATAGTGACTTTGAAAGAGTCATGTCGTACCACTTGACCACTAATCCTTGATAAAGTTATCTTTATTTACTTACATTATTTATTATTTATTTAGCTTTAATATTTAACCTTTTTTCAAAAGAGGAAGCTGTAGAAATTTAGTGCAGAATCTAATGATTCGAGTCAAAAAAAAAAGGAAGTTCTTTTTTAAAAACTATATTTAGCCACTAAAGCTAGCTGCCGAAACTAAATAAAAGATTAGTATGTATAATAAATAAAAGATTTATAACAAGCGCTATAAAAATAATTAGCCCAGTGCAAGTATCGCACTTGCTTCTATTGATTACAAAACAATTGCATTACTTTTATGCTAACCAGGCATAAAGTTTAGTAGATATAAACAAAATATTTAGTGATTTATAAAATTAGTACTTTATTCCTTAAAATCTCTTGATTCTTACAAATAAAGCCTATCTTCATAATAAAAAGAGGGCTAACCTACTTTTATATTATGTTTGTAATGTTCTATTACGTATATTTAAGAAATATCTTAAGGTAAGCTTCGTGCCTATATGCTTTCAGCACTTATCTTTGACTAACATAGCTTTCCTGCCGTGCCTATATTATCATAACTACTTAAGTGAAAGTAGGATAGTCCTATAAATTAGGACATATAAACAACAGGTAAACCAGAGATTAATAATTCTATTATTTCAATATTAATAAATTAATATTCCAAGTTCCTTTCGTACATAGGTTATTCCTTATTATATTCTAATTCCCTCTAGAAGATAGAAACCATACTGTCTCACGACGTATTTAACCCAGCTCATGTAACTTTTTAATCGACGAACAGTCGTACCCTACATAGTTTCTGCATCCATGAGGATAAGTTAAGCCGACATCGAGGTGCCAAACCGCGCACTCATTTTGCACACTCTTGCGCAAATTAGCCTGTTCAATTTGTTATCATAAAGCCCTACGCTTTTATTTCCACTTTTTACAAAATGGTTCAGACTATTTCTTCATTTTTATTTCTGTATATTTCACTTATTTCAGTTACGAATTATAAATCAATTATTTTCCGCTAAATCAAGTTTTCACTCCAAAAGATCCAATACGACGTTTAGAGTTTGATCTTGATTTTTCTATATTTGAATCAAGATAACCTCTAAACACCACAGTAGATAATCCTTTGAATGAAGAATCTCTATTTTTAAGTCCTCCTTTTCATTTTAATTTATATACAGCTCTGTCCGCTCTATATCTTTTAGTTAATCTACCTTTAACAACTAATCTTGCACCACCCATAACTTTATACTTAATATTTTCAAAAATAATATCTCTTAAATTTGTATAATAAGCATTATTTAAAGATGAATTGCTTAATTCAGTAGTGCTTGCTGTGGCTCCGTCGATTCTTAAATTAGAGTTATCCATTATATTTTTATAATATATATTGTAGAGTAATTTATTTAAATTATCTTTAAAAGAGTGTGTATAAATTCCTAGATTACTTTCAGCGGCTACGCCTGATTTCCCTATAGGGAATTTATTCATAATCAAATTTATATTTGAATTACCATATATATTATCAATCGATTTAGAATTCATTTGTTTTTCTAATCTTGCTTTCTCTATTATTGGATTTACCATAGGTAAAACAACTTTAGCTAATAAAGAATTTATTCTCTGCATTGGATTAGATTGTTCTTTTTTAACTTTTAAAGTTAATATTTCAGTAAAAATATCACTATTATGAGCTATATTTTTTAAGTTTATTATGTTAAATTCAACTTTTTTACCGTAATATTTACTGATTAATTCACTTAATTTATTCAAAAATCTTTCTTCAAATTTGTTTTTATTTAAACTTAATCTTAATCTTAGTCTTTTAACATAAGAAAAAATTTTTCTAACTTTTTTTGAAAAATATAAATTACGACTGTGATATGTTTTATTTAAATAGTTTCTACGATTTTTAGCTTTATATTTTAATAATAACACTAAATTAGTATCAATATTTTTTGATAAAAAAGATAGAGTTTCAGATCCTAGTACTGAAATAAATGTTAATCATTTTTTGGCCATATTATGAATATTTCTTATCAAAAAGAAATGTCTTAATTCACCAATTTTTTTTAACAAAGATATTCTTTCTTTATTATAAACATAAACAGTTATTAAAGCTTTATTGTTAGTATGCTTTACTTCTGCTTTACTTACAAATATTTTGTTCAAAGATTTACGTTTATTTCTTACAGGTATATATTTACTTTTTAAAAATCTGCTATTAAAATATAAGGTAAAATAACCTTTTATTAAAGAATTTATATTTAAATCATAAACAGGTAAATTTATACTATTTTTTAAATTAAAATTATAAATACTGTTTTTTCATTCTTTAGATACTGCAGGTAAATATTTTATATGACCTACAATATTAGTACTTGATTTAAACGGTACTAATTTATAATTATTATTTGTTTTTTTAGTAAAAATAGATGGACTTGTATTTTCTAATTTAATATTGTTCTTTTTGATCATCGTCATAAAATTATAAAAAAAAATTTTGGGTTTTAAATACATAATAAAAATGTTGGGTACTATTAAATAGGACTATTGTTTGCTTAAACTCACCTAGTAGTCGTTGAACGATTTTATTTCTTTTTTAAGCTAAAATAAATTTCGCTTCAAATTTACTTCTTTTATATGGCTTTTTTAGTTTTGTTTATATTAGGCCGCTACCTGATCCCAAAGGGATCAGGTGGCTGAAACACGGCTGGAGGCCGAGTAACCCAAAATTAATAAAAATAAATAACCACAAGAAGTTATCTTTGAAATTCACCCAATTTAATAACAATGTTTTTGCTCTTTAAAAATATTGTATTTTTAATAGCCAACATTGAAGGACAAACAAACATCCCTAGCGTAGCTTTTCCAAAAATCCAAGACCTTTCCTTGTTGTGTCTTGTGATCCTATGCCCCGCTTACGCGACTGTAAGACTTGTTGGTGGTCAAACAGTAAGGCAAGATTTAGCCATTAAACTTGATAAGTATCTTACATAATCTATTATATGTGCTATTTTAAAGCCTTATATAATAATTAATAAGATGTTAGAAAAAACTTCTCGTAACATCTTAACTACGACTAATTTCTCAATAGTTTAAATCCTACCTACAAAAAAAAATTCTCCTCCTTAATACCCTGCAAATCTATACTGAAACAACAGCATCTATTTACAGAAAAGCAAGAATTATTAAATATAAGAGACTCACGCCTCTTATACTTAGGCTTGTACATCTATACATAAATAAGATAGAATATAGCTAGCTGTATAGCCGTGCTATCTACTATTACAAACAAACAAATATTAGCAAAACTAATATTTTATTTAGTGATACATCTATTGGCGATAAACGCCTAAACAAACATAAAACATAGTTGGACACACCCATTTACTCTTTATGGGGTCTGTGCCCCGCATAAACTGTCTCCTAGCAATTTTTCCTTTCTAAGGTTACATTCTTTTCTTTTTACAGAAAAGACGGGGATTAAATAATCCTCACAATACGATCCCCAAATAAAGGTATTACATTTGTATCTTATCAATTACCTTATTTGCTGATATTTGTCCCCAACCGTACCTAATAATTAGTAACAGTAAAGCTGCATAGGGTCTTCTCGTCTAACTAGAGGTAAACTGTATCTGCACAGTTATGCCAATTTCACTGAGTCAATCATAGAGACAGCTGTTGTATCGTTACATCATTCATGCAAAGACTGCATTTAACAGTCAAGGTATTCCGCTACCTTAGGACCCTCACGCTAAGGCCGCCATTAACCGGGGGTTCCTACAGTACCAAACTTTTTAAAGTTAGTTATTTTCGTTAACCAGCCGGCACCGGGCAGAAATCACACTCTATACTTAGACTTAAGTCGTATGCAAAGTGCTTTGTTTTAATTAAACAGTCGTACAACAATATTTCATGCTTCTTCCTTCTTACCCGTAGTTTTTATTACCGTAATAATAAAAGATCCCACGGGACGAATGAGCCCTCCTTATCCCTAAGTTACGGAAGTTAGTTTGCCGAGTTCCTTTATGATTGTTAGCTCATTTACGCCTTCGTATACTACACTAGCTTACTTGTCACAGTTTCTAGGTACGGTTTTTTTTTCATCTTTATATAGTCATTTCTTATATATAGAGATATATTACTTAATTTTTCCTGCACACTTTTCACTTTAAAAATGTTGTCATTTAAGTAATAAGATTTTCTCATCGTTTCAACCTTTGGAAGTGAAAACTTAGAGGCCGTTACTTTAATTAAACCATAAGCTTTAGGCGAGTGTTCGAACTTATGTTCGAACTTCTTTTTTGTTACTCATGTCACCATTCTCTCTTGAGTTTGCTGTGATGATATAATTATCATCATCTCCAATGGAGTCGCATCCATCGTAAAAACGATGGAATGCTGCAGGTTTACCCAATGTTCTGCTACCCCAGTAAAAGATTATAATTCAAAACTTATCGTCTTGTAATATAAATTTATAATCAGTTATGGACAAGGTATCGGTATATTGTTTAGATCCGTTAAATTTTCGATGCCTTTAAAAATTAACAAGCGCTCTGTTACGAGGTCTTTGAATTATGGCTGCTTCTAAGCCCATCTCCTTGTCGACTTAAATAAAAACTTTCTTAATTTCACTTAACAATAATTTCGGAACCTTAACTCTTGTTCTGGGCTGTTTCCCTTTTGACATACAACCTTATCATTCTATGTCTGATAATTTAATATTCATTTTTGCCATTTCGAGTCTACAAACTCACCGATAAAATCTCTACGATCCCCCGATATGTACAAAGTAAGATGTCGATTTAACTAAAAGTTCGCGGTAAAACCGACTAAAACTTTTAATCAAATTTAATACACCTTGT